CGACAGTCGCCATGACATTTCAAATTTACGGGCTATGACAAAGTGAGTTAAATGCATTTTGAGAAGTACTCTCCGTAGCATCCGCACAGCTGAAAGGAAAATCCCCAACAAAAACAACACAAACTCTATAAAAAAAGAAGGGAAGAAAAACCCGAGGTGCAGCTGCATCTCCAGCAGCAATCTGCCCTTTTGATGTTGCCACAGACCACGGACCTCTACATATATTTAAAGATCATGTACTTACTTAAATTACAACGCACACCCCCGTTACACATACACAGACACCCTCTAGCTCACTCGCACACAGCGACAAGTGTTTATGCACTTCGATTGCATGTCTGTGTAGCTCCAATAACCGAGTTTCCAGCCCCCCACTGCCTGAGCCTGCTGCCGGAGTTGTTGTTATTTGCAAAAGTTATTCATACGCCACGTTGACAATAGTAGAAAATGCAATTTATGTTGGAAAAACATTGCGTAAGTGCATCTGAGGCGAAATTCAAGTAGCTGCTGCTACCAGCACCCCGAAGCAGCCAAAGACAACGGCAGACACAGCAACAGGAAGGGGGTGGCAGTGAGAAGGGGGTTTCTTATGGGGTTCTAAAGGGATAAAAATTATAAATAATTGTAAAAAAATATTATAATTGTTTTATTTATATTTATGAATAAGAAATAAATAAGAATATTGGGAGAAATTACCATAAGGTTTACTTTAATATTTTTCTTCATCAAATTGATAAGTAAAAACTCTTCATTTTTATCACATTTTATTTAGTAAATGTAAATTTTCCATATGCCAAATACCCCTTTATATATCCCTACGCCACTGCCACTGCCAGCACACATGCCGAGGCTCTGGCTGAGGCTCAGGCGGTGGCAGGCAGTCATGTAAGAGCGTTGCCATATAAAACATCTAGAAATTCCAATAAAATTTTCATGCAATTTTCCTCACACCGCTTTTACACACATGCAGAGTATAAGCTCTGCTCCTGGCCAGCTCATGGCTTATGCCGCCCCCCAGGAAGGTTCGTCCTTCCCAAGAACAAATGGTAGTATGTATGTGAGTGTGTGCTTGTGGCAAATGCATATCTTAGACACTCAATAAGTAAAATAAACAATGCCAAGAAAGTGCCAAAATCAATTGGCTTTCTAAATGTCAGCCAGTGCGAGGGAAGTGCACTCATCTCGCTCATCCTTTGCCTTAAGGACAACAACTGGGCCAAGGCCACAAGTAAATATAGAGGCGGGCAAATAATCGAGCCCATCTCTTTGGCATAAACAACAAATTAATTGTGGCTCAGCTAACCTTTGACCTCCCCCGAGATCGATGCAAACAATTTCGAATTTACATCGAGGCTTATGCAGATTGATGGAACATCAAATAAATTTTAATTTATTCAGCTATCAGTTATATTACTTTTTATGCGAGTCGGGAGGCCGACCTTTTGATGTTGCGAGCATATTAAGATTTGGCTATAAAGTTGATTGAAGCGGCAGTGTTTTTTCCATCCATCCTGTTGCTGTACGGAGATAGGGGGCACTGGTGGTCAGGCCAATTTAGCAGCGCTTAACCACAGGACGCAGGAGGGGGTGAGTGGAACAAATTTCATTGGACGTGGCGAAAAATTTCATTTAAAATATATATATATACATATATTTTGCACACATCACAAGTGCGGCCGGGCTGCAAGTGTAATTTATGCGTCTTCACACAGGCACTAGCCTCACAGAGCTAGTGAAAATGTGTAATGTTGACCCGATGCCAGGGCTGTCCTGGTCCTAGCCAGGGTCCTGGATGCGGACATGGACGTCCTGCCAGCCATTGCTCGACGCTTTTCATTTTTCTGTTTTGGGCTAAAATACCAAATTACGACATAAATAATGCATAGATAACGAAATTTATTACATTTCATGTATCAGGCAGGCAGCCTGGCAGGCTGGCAGCCCGTCGGACAGTCGGACAGTCGGGGCGAACGTCCGTCCGGACACAAGTCCGAGCCAGGGGCCACGGGCAGCGAGGACATGCTGCTGGCCACGTCCGGATTTTCGGCCCGCACCAGCAAAAGTTTCACATCAAACGGGCACGAATGCTGCTTCTGCTGGAAATGTCGCCTTCTTAATTTATGGCTCGTGTTAGTTTCTCTGATTTCCTAGCAAAACTTTATCGAAGCATTCTATTAGGCATCCTGCAGCTGCAATTTAAAGTGTAAGTGTTGCAGGAATTTATTAGAGGTGTGAAGAGCAGGGAAAAGTGATTTAATTATTGGAAACTTTTCAATTTTTTACAACTTTAAAATAATGATCCGTGCATATCAAACATATTTATTTTCAATACATTATTAAAAGTTATATTTAAGATTGAATAATTTTGTATTTTCTGCTTTCTCGCATCTATTTTGAATGCTTTGCAATATAATTTTTATCATCCTTTCCTGGAACTGTCTCATCAATTTTATCACCTCAATAAACCCATGAGAATTCCGTGAATTAATCGACTTTGCCGAAGCAACAATACACAATGCAAATTCATATATTCAAATTTCAATCAAATTACTCTCGAGCAGTTTTTTGCCCCGCTTCTTGTTTATGCTATGAAAATTAAGTTAACTGAAAATGCGCCAAACAAAAAATGCAAAACTTTTTTGCGGTTTTTTTGCGCTTGACTTCAGCTTGAGTCCCAGTTCCAGCAGCCACATCAAGCTGACGCTGGAGCTGACGCGAATGCGGAACCAAATGAGGATGCCTTGCTCATATCGCAGCCAGTTGCTTATAATTGCATTTGCATATTATTTCCCTTTTATTGCACATGTCGCCCGGCTTGACATGCCATCACTTCGGTGGAGCTGGCGGAAACCCTTAAACCATTTATTTTTTCTCCACTCCCCCACATCGCACTTCTCTTCCAGCTTGACTCCTTCTTCCGCTGCTTGGACTGCCATTTTTATTTCACTGAAATGTTTATAAAATGGCGGCACGCTTCCGGCAGCAGAAAGAAAATGTAACGAGAAGGGCTAGAGGGCGGCAGCGGCAGCGGCAGCATCACCAAAAGAGTTAAAAGTTAAGCGTCTCTGGTGGGAAAAAATTGTACCAAAATAATTTGCATATAAATTATGATTGAAGGCGCCCGGGCCAAAGGTGTCAAGCGTGTTGACTGAAGGCTCACCATCGGGGGCGTCGGGGTCTTAGCCCAACGCTTCCCGAAACCCAATAAATTGTGATAGCTGCCCATCTGGAGGTTAGTGAACCGCTGTGTGTGAGCCAAGCAATAAATATCTCGACGACTTCCCGTGCAGACTGTCGCTAAGCTGCTATTTCGAAAACTAGAGATGCACTAGGAACTGCAGTTGTGTTATTTTAACTTAAAATCCTGTTTTTAATGTCATTAACTGATTAAAAATCAATTTAAACTTCTCTAAATCAAATAAAATCATATGTCTTGTACTGCCAAGTAATTTTAAAATATTATTATACATTTTATAAGCTATAAAAGGTATTAAAAGTGCATTTTTTTTTTCAAAGTGTTAAGTTAGGAAGGTGCCTCAGCAATTTCCTGCACGCTTGTCAGCGGCTTAGCCTCCCATTTCATTGGCAATCCTCGTCCGCAGGTAAACAATGCTAATGCATATGCTCTGGCTTTCGCCTCGGCACTTTACTTATATAGAGTTGGAGTATTCAGAGAGAGAGAGAGACAGAGCCAGAGACAGGTTGGGGTCTGCACTTCCGGCACGCATGAGATGGCGGACTTACGTCACAGATCGTCAGCGTCAAAAGTCCCAGAAGATACATGTATCTCTGTATCCCAAGACAAACCGAGTGCGGGGGGGTGGGATAAACGGTGCACGTGTTTCCCTTTTTCCAGAAGCCCCGAAAATCAAATCTGAAATGAATTTACCTTTGTTGATTTGCGACGGCTTTTGCATTTCGGCTTATTACATACACCCGCACCCAGTACCCTGTTCCCAGTACCCGACGTGGCTTGTTGATTTGCTGGCAAACCCCTAGCGATTGCTGGCTCGGATTGCGAAATGAGCTCAAGACAAATGTAAATATTTTTTAGTGCTCGCCGGGAAAGGGACAGAGTTGGGTTTGGGTCTTATGATGAATGATTGTGTGCTTCCTGTAGATTTGTAGCCGCCGATAAACCCAATTTGTTTGCGCTTTAGTAGAGTGGTGCGCGGGGGCGGTGGAAAACGAGGCGTGCTCACAGGGTCTCGCATTACGCATACGCCGTGTGTGATTGTCAAAGTTTTTAAAGCCGATACTTTGCTCACTACTTGTCGTTTGGGAATTTATTTTCAATTTGATGAGAACTTTGCTTTTGTCGTCCATTTCCACTTTTCATGGCTTTTCTATTGCGATTGCATGCGTGGTTTGTCTTATTTTCTTTAGTTTTGCCAAGGCATCCTCTAGCGCTCATCTTACCACTCTGGCAGTCAAGAAGCTATGTATTTTTTGTACTTATTCCTCTATTATTGTTTATATACCCATTGTCGTTTGCCTTTTCACTTGTCATTGCCGTCTTAGCTGGTTTAAGATGGAAGATTTAATTGCTTCATTCGCACTATAAACCTGAGCTCAGCGCACGGAAAATTATTAAATGCTATTTATCACTCTGGCGACAACGGAAATGTGTTTCTGACACCTAAAAGAATGCCCGAGGGGAGCGACGAGGGGTGGCATGTGCAGCTGCTGAGGAGGAAATTGGCAGCATCTGGGAAAAAATTGCACTTGAGGAAATTAAAAGTTGCATTTGAATGCCACACACGAGCGTAAAAACTAATATCCGCCCTTCAGCTCTTTGTCTTGAGAAAAATAGGTATTTTTAAATGGCCAAGAAATGAGAATGGGGTCAGTTAGGGAAACTTATTTATAATATAAATATAAATTCTGCATAACAAAGCTAGTTAAAATTTGTCTAAATGTATTTTTAATATATTTCTTTGCTGTTCAATTGGGTCAATAATAATATATTTTCATTAAACGCAAAAATAAGCTTCGCTTTATCGTTTTCAAATATTTATTGTCTTTCTGTGGTTAAAAAAAATCATTTTCTTAGGCAATTACAATCCTTAAAGTATGCCACAACATTATGAGTGCAGTCGCAGATACTGCCAGAAAGTAGGCAAAGATACAAAGCTAGCTAAGTATTAGGCTACGTAAAATTCATGTATGAAATCGGCGTATTAATCAATCTCTTTAGACATATAGCACAAACATGGCCGAAATTGCTGCCAAGAAGGAGAGGAAGGTGGAAGCATAGAGCACGGCACAGGTGGTGTCCATCCAGGAGACGAGTGGTCCCACGGAGAGCGACACAATCAGCTGGGCAATAAAGACCATGCTGCTGATAATGGCCACATCGGTGCCCAGACCCCGGGCCTGTTTCAATGGCACAGTCTCGCCATTTTTCACAATGAACTGTGGGCACGAAAAAAAAAAGAATCAAATTATGTCAGAAATCACAAATGTTTTCGATTTTCGATTTTTTACTTACACAATTTTTGGCATGGTAGTTGGCCACCAGAATAAAAGGCACCGTAAATATTGTTCCATAGAGAATACCCGCCGAGGTACTGAACAGCAAGACACCCCATTTCGTGGGCCACAAGCCCAGGACCAGCATGCCAATGCCGTAGTAGATCATGCCACTTATATACACTGCCTTTGTTCTGAAATATTGTGGATTTTAAGAAAATAATATTAAAATAAGTATAAATGATTAACAAACTTAATAATCATATTACTAAATTCTAATTTTTTATAACGAGTTGAGAATAGGCACAAATTACAGGGGTCACGTTGCAATGAGTTATTTTATTTAATATATAAAGAATATATACAAAAATAAATATAAGAAATATATTTTATATAAAGAAACTATGTACTTAATTTATATAATAAATTGAAGCATCAAAAAGAAAATGAGTTCAAGCTTAATCTAATATATTTAGATTTTAATTTATATCCGCTTTTAAAGAATATAGCCCTGGCTTTTAGTAAGTTAAACTAAACATTGTCAAGGCTATAAAAACCAGTTTGTTAGACATTGAAATAATTTAAATTTCTTACAAGAAACCACAAGTCATTCTGTATAAATTATTTTCTTAGGGTTTTCTTAGCTATAAAATACCAAGTCAGGCCAAGAACCTAATTCTGAGCCTACAAATCGAAAATCTTTTAATTCAAAATTAATTAAAATTGCATTTCTACTAAAAAGGTTTTCAAAATATTAAATATTTAAGTATTAATAAGCTTAATGCTTATTTTTGCGACTTACCCAAACCACTTCATCAGCTTCGTCACAGACAGCGAGTAGATGGAGCAGGAGAAGGCGTATATGGCCATGCCCCAGCAGCCGAAACGGACGCCCTCCTCGTAATTCTGAGCTGCCTCCGAATTGGGAGGAGCTGTGGGATCCCCATGGAACACTGCCTCGCCCACAAAGTCCGTAAAGTACAGGCAGTAGGTGACATGGCCCATCCAGCAAAAGAGATTGGTCAGGGCCAGCATTCGCATCGAGTAGGGCATAATGAAGATGCTCTTCAGGTAGGACTTCAGGGAGACCGGTGGCTCGGCACTGGACTGCAGCTCTGCATCCTGGGCCATGCTCTGCTTGGCCAAAGCCGGCGAGTAGCCGTTCTGATAGCTTCCCTGCAACGCCTCCACCCGCTTGGGATCATCCGCCCCCATCTGGAGCTCCAGCTGAGTGGTCTCCTGGATGTAGTAGATGGCATTGTTGTTCTTCTTCAGCTCCCGCTTGATGGCCGCCTCGGAAAGCGGTCGCAGCAGCTCGTCCTGCTCGATGAGGGGCAGGGGAATCTCCTTGAAGGTGGTCACCGTAATCAGGTAGCAAATCACAAATATAATGGTCACCAGGGTGAATACAGTTGGTATATTTCCGCCCATAAAAGTGCCGATGTGCGTCGTCTCCCAGTCAACGCCTCCGATGGCATAACCAATAGTTCCTCCAAATCCTGCAAACAGCGCAAACATGGTCATCGCCTTCGGCTGCTCCTCGGGCACACACATATCCAGCAGATAGGTGCGAGCCGGGGTCTGGCAGGTGTCCGCGTCGAAGTCCAGCAGAACCATTCCCAGAATCGTAAGGATCACGGCAAACTTAAAGTCGGAGGCCGATGGTCCAGTGTCGCTTTTACTCGATACCAAGGCAGCTACTGCTCCGTCGCTAAAGCTGGAGGTGATATTTAGGGCTGTATCCGAGTAGTTGTAGCCCACATCGCCCAGCAGCACTCCCAGATCCTTGCCATATGGCACCAGGATTAAGCCACACAAGATTCCAAAGGATAATATGGAAATGATGGGTCGTCGACGACCCCAACGAAGCTTGCACCGATCGCTAATACTTCCCAGTAACGGAGACACAAAGAATCCGATCAAGGGAGACAGTCCCCAGGTCATGGACATGTGCTTGTGATCCACGCCGATCTGCAGAAGGATCGGGGACACGAAGCTCGTCTCCGCCGCGTAGGCAAACTCAATGGCCATGGCGATGGCGGATAGCCGGAACATCTCAAAACGCGTCTTCCGGCGGAAGACATGCGAGTAGTCCTGATCCTGCTCACGGGCATGGTTCTCCCGGGTCTTGAGCATGTACTTGATCATGGGATTCTTTGCCGAGGACAGCTGGTTCGCCTGGGAGGCGTCTGCCGCAACTCCAACCATTTTGATCGGCGGTTAATTGATACTGTGGGGGGAAGATAATAATTATGTTAAGTAAATAAAGATATAAAATAAACTTTTAAGTAAAAAAAATATGGAAATAAATTTGTTTGCCCAGAATTTCCTGCATTTTTAAGGAAGTTTAATATTTACTGTTATTAAAAGTTTAAATTCTTAACCTGTATTAATTACTGTAATAATTATAAGTGCAAGATTTAATCCAGAACCCATGCATTTAAAAATATAACAAACATTTGTTTTCCAGTATTTTTTTGAGAGAGCTTAAATAAAAATCTGTAAGAAAGTTGAACCTATTTTGCAATGAACTATTTATTAAACTAAGTTAAATTTGTAATTTTTGAGGAGAAAGAAATAAAACAAATTTATATTTTTGTGGTAGGGATTTTTAAAATAGAAAAATAAATTAGAACTATAAATCCGTATAAATAATAAATAGGGGAAACCCATAACCTGCAGTTTAAAAATTATAAAACTAGGGATATCGCTTAGTTATGTACTCTTTCGACTGAAATATTCCCATAGGTTTCTGTGTAAGATTACTATTTAAGAATTTTTTATCCCGGATGATAGTTTTCACAATTGACTCAAAGGGAAAAGAATGCAATTAACTTATAAGCAAAAAAATACAAACAATGCGACCTTAAGTCCAACATCATCAAAAATCTAACAGTTCACATCTGGGCTTAAATTGCTTATGGCAATCTTTAATTACCAAACGAGAATCGTGATGTTTTCCCATCTCAGCCCAGAGCCCAAAGCCCCAGAGCCCGGAACGCAAAGACATTGAACCGATTATTTAAACTAGAAACATCTGGTGCGGCACGTCGAAGAAGCGTCAAAGATCTCTGATTAATTGAGCTGCGCGGCCACAGTGCAGTGGCAGTGGCGAAATATGAATTTCAATTTACAATTCCAATTCAATTGCAGCGAGGCCCTCGATTTGTGTCACTTTGCGACTGACCATAAAGCCCGAACCCTGAACGGCGCTATTTGTTTACAAACAAATTCAATCACAGCGAAAGAAAATCGAGAGTGAGTTCTGATTCGAGCGACGCTTATCGGGAATAGCGAAATCTGAATCGAAGCGAAGCTCTGCGTATATAGTGATTCCCGAAATGGGTTCACAAACCTAATTAAAATCGGAAAATAAATATACAAACATGTCTGAATGCAAACACTGATAGCTTACTTTGAAACGAAATTTACTTCTTAGTTGGATAATGATATATACATTGTTTCTTCAAGTTTAAGTTGCACATAAGCAAAGAATTTTAAACGAAATACTGAAAGGTAAGCAATTTGCAATTGTAAAACCAATAATTGCCTAAAGATAACACTAAACGAACACAAAACACTGCAAACCTCAATAGAATTCATTTTAAAAAAATAGTTTAGTTTTAGTTTTATGAGATAAAGTAAAATATATATTTTATTAAGTAACTAAAACAATTTCTCAGCATAAAAGCTATGAAAAAAGAGCTATATTCTTCTTTAAATTTCTGTATAAATTTAAATATACTCCTTATGACTTTCCAACTTACTTTAATCTCTAATTATCTTATATCACACTTGTTATATATATAATATTTTTAATCACTTTGCTTTCTTTACTAATTAACACAATATCACAATTTCAATAGATTTAACCACTGTCTGGGATCGATCAGTTTCTCTTTTGCTTGAACTTGACAATCAGCCGCATTTTCGAATTGTGGCTAGCGGACACTTTTGCAAATTGACGGTTCAGCGGCTTATATTGGGATCAATTGTATCTTCGCGGGCGATCAGCATTAACGACCAACGGCGGCGCGACAGAAACTTTCCTACAACCAAAACGTCGCGTGTCCAAATAGCAACTGAGTCTGGGTCTCCGAATCTGCGAGTCTCCGGCCTGAGCCATTGACCAAACTTATCTGCTCCATACGTGTGAGGAGCACTAGCAACAACAACAAGAATAATAAAATACAATAATAATAAAAGCTTGAATAAATTTGAAATACAAAACATCTAATTTAAACGCCGGCCGTCGTTCACATTGTCGCACATCCATGGTAATTGAGACAAGTTGCAGGTCATCTTGGGGGGCTGGAATCCGCAAACAATGCATAAAGTGTGTCCAGGTCTAATCCCTTTCTCTGGAAATCTCAGATCTCCTCAGGTTAGATGACCGGCAGATTTGGTTTGAATATGCATGAGTATATGCGTATAGATTCGCAGAAACCACGGCTCGTAATCAAATCGCCACAGACTAGGTCAATAAATGTTTAAATAAACGAGGGGGCAACAAAAAATAACCCAACAGATGAGCTTTTCAAATTAATTAAGACGCCGCTGGCATTAATTGCCTGTTACTATTAGGAAGTCACTTGATAAGCATTCCGCAGTTGACAACTCTCGCGTGAATCACTCAAGCTAATAAGGTCAAGGTTATTTTGGGGATTTTCTTAAGGAAATAGGGAAATAGTTTGCCTTCTTCTGTAGGCTAGTAATTTAAGAGTAATTAATGCAAGTTTCACACGTCTTTCTCAGTTGCATTCCATGGGGGCAGCTTTTGTTTTTTCCCCGTTTCGTGGCGATTAAACCGTTTTGCAATTAACATGTTTATTAAACTGCTGCTTAAAATGCATATTACTTTATTGTGGGAGTGCGAACCGCCGGTCCCAAACATATAGGCAGTTTAATTAACCGCCAATTGAGGCGTAATTGATCTTCTTATTGTGCGCAGGCATGAAGCGTGTTATTACTGTATTATGGCTCCTTTAATTATGGGAGAAAATTCGACAGAGATTTTGTATTTTCCATTAACTAAAGTGAGCGAACAAAGAAAGCTGACGTATATTGATTATATAGCTAATTAATAAGCTGTATATTATCTTAAAATAGAAATTGTGGCTAATGGAGGGGGACCAGCATAAAAAGCCCATTAAAAATGATGTGGGAATATTTGGATATTATGTAGATTTTAGGTTCCTTGTTTCTCTAAAAGTTTTCCAGAATAATTGTTAAAAGCATAATTTTACCATAAGAAATTCTATATAATTTGTAGTATATGTATTATTATTATTTTAGATTAAGTTAAGAAACTTAAGTCAGTGGGTTTCCCCTGATCTAAGTGAATATTTTTCGTAGTCATGCTTCCTCTAAAAAACTCTCTAAAAGGGCAGCTAACATATCATTAAAAAATGTATGCAAATACTTTGCACATTTATGTAATTACCCTAATTATAATTTCAAGATTTACAACACTTCCTTATTGTTAAGATCTCCCTTAAATATATACACTCACCTCTATTTCCAGGTATCCTTGATCCGCTGACCGCCCACGCTCCGCTGTTAAAAATCTCTAACTAAAGTCAAGTATTTCCGGTGCTATTTATGGTTGTGTATTTATTTTTAAGTAATATATTACTAAATATTTTTCTGTAGAATTTATGTTCAACTCTAAATAATCACTGTCACTCTGTGCTGCGGTTGCACTGCGGCAATTCACTCACTTTCCGGGCTTCGGTTTAGTGTCAATAAATTATACTCCGTTAAAGTTTTTCTCTTGCACAAATTGCTGAACATAAAATAGATTTCGATTTTCTTCAATTTCAATTGTTTTTCCCTATGCTGCTGTTGTTGCTTGGAGCGGGCGTGGGCGTGGCAGTTGTGGGCGGGCGGCGGTAACGAATTCACTCTCATAACTTTACCCATGCAGTTGGTGCTGGCAAAAGGCTAAGGAAATCAATTTTTTCAAGTTTTTGTTTGCCTCCGAAAAGTTGTTCCACTCCCGAATGACTCTCTGCGATGAGTTATTAATTTTTTTTTTCTGTTTTTATTTTCTTCCCGATATTTTTTTACTATCCGGTGGATTTGTGTGTGTGTGTGTGTGTGTATTATCGTTGCGTTAAAGTGCTGACATCGCCGCTTGGCGAGTGCGGCGGCAGCTGTTTACGTCGTTGGCCTGAACGCAGCTAAGATTTTGGCAAGACATGAAAGATGTTTTGGCCTGACAATTTTCCTAACGGGCAACTACGCAGCTTCCACTTGACACTGAATCGATACGCTGGCAGATGGAAATGTATTTTCTATTTTTTGCAGACTTTTTTCGATTTAATTCGACGGTGCGATGACTTTGGTTTATTTTTGGCCTGCGGAACGGCAAGGGGCGACGCTCGAGATGATCGTAGCTGTGGTCGTGGTCTGGTCTGGTACGCTCTGCGACTGAGTCTGCGTGTGTCTGGACGCCCCAATTTATAGACCGGCAGCATATGTGACGCGGGATCTCCGATCCCAGACGACGCGAAGCTCTCTCGGGTGCTTTTGCCTCTCCGATCGGCGTCTTATCGGGTCCGGTCGGGCCTTTCCTTTCTTTGTCGTAGGAGCAGCGATCACACGGCAAGAAAATACAGAGAAAATACGGAGAAAATATGAATTTGAACTTTAGTTTATTATCTTATCAAATAATGTGGGTTAAGAACTATTTGAGCAGACTTTATTGTCAATTAAAATATTTCAACTAATTTTAAGCTACATTTACACAGTTATATTGTATTAGTTTTAAATAATTTTAGGTCTTTGAATCTCTTAAATATCTTTTCAAATTATTTTGCCATTAAAAAACCTTGGCTAATTCATTAATTTGTAGTTTGAATGAAAGGAATATGAATATATATTTTATTTTAAGTCAATATATTTAGTAGTTCTACTACGTATGCAACTTAAACTATTAGAATTTATTTTGCATGTAAAGTTACAAATACATAAATCAATCGCAAGAAATTCCAAGCGTTCCATTTTTTTCTCTGCACACAAATCTTGCTATAAATATTGATGTTTAATATTGGTTTTTTTTTGCCTTGCCTCGGCTCATTCGCAATGCATTTTATCTGACGACATAGCAATCTATGTGTAATTATGTTAATTATTAATTAGCGTTAGCACAGTTCCTGGTTCTTGGTCCAATCTTTCACAGGGCCCGCAGCAGCTGCTGCCACCTGAGGCAGCTCACCTGGATTTCAGCTAGCAGGTAAACAGGGAGCCCAGGGAGCGCAGACCTGAAACTAGTTTCACAGGCGACGACGACAGGTTTCGAATTGTGGCTGTATGTAGTAATAGTGGATATGCACAGTGATTCTCGAGTGATTTTCCGAGATGTAAGCAAATCCTAGATTACACTGACCGCACACTCTCTGGGATATTCCACTTGATTTCGAGTGTTGGCTCTTCAGCGTATTTATTTAGCCATTTACCTTATCACTTTTACGGGGTGTGGACGCCCCGGTTATCAAATCTCAGCACAGCCAGGCCACTTGACGAGGCGAATTAGTCGAGAGACTATAAATAATTGCCACTGGAAACTCAATAATCATACAACGATAACAGGGGTATGGCATTGAATCTGCGTTCTACTGCAGATTCGGTCTGTAATTACCCTCAAGGTGGGAGCAAAGCAGGTAATTGCAGATGCGAAAAGGAAAATGATACTTCAAGGTACTAGGAACAAACAAATCTCACCTCAGTTCCTATAATATTTAAGCTATCATTTAGTTTCCATTAACTGTTGGAGCGGTTCAAGTTTCTAATGTGTGTATTTCCCCCCGTAGAACACACTCACACTTGGCTCTAAAATTAAAATATAACACGAGTTGTGTTTGTTCTTGCTTAGACTCCAGTCTCAAACTTTCCATCTCGTTTAAGCCTCATAAAGATGCTAAAATATTCCCGCAAGAATGACACTGCTCAACTGCTAGTGTGTCTGCCAGCTGGATTCCTCGAATATGGATTTGTTTTTGGGTTCTCGTATTTCGAGGGTTGTGTTTGCATTAACTCGCTATGTGCTTAGTGACTCGTTGACATGAACTATTAGCGCAAATCTGCGACTTTTGCCACCGCCAAGATCTCCAATTGAAGCGTGTGGTGTGTGTGGCATCAAATAATAAAGCCCGGCGAATTATGTAAAAAATAGTGGTTAGGCCCAGTCGATGGTGATGCGGTTATCAAAACCACCCAGTGGTGTCACAGCGGCTTCGGGTCATTGACTTGACTCACTCAGCTCCTAGTCTCATTAGGTGAAGAGAAAGAAATCATAATATTAAGTCGAGGTTTAAATGCATATTAATTATTTGTTATCTTTTAAATAGGTAGCCATTTAAATAGATATTCACATTGTATTAACCCTAAAATGGTTTTATTATATCTTTTAAATACAAACAAAAACTCGTGATGATAAGTTTGTTGTTTTTACTTGCAATATTTCATATAATATCAGTTCCACTTAGATATAGAAAAGTTTGCGAAAAGTCATGCCGTTTGCAAGGTTATCTGATGGCTGGGATCTTCGATAAGCGCTAGCAAAACTCTGCTTATCTCCATAAGACCAACAATAACCATAATTTAAGGAAAGTACACAGCAACGGATGTGCATAAATAAAATGTGATATGTGTTTGATGAGCTCTGGAATAACCATATTCAAGTGGCGGTTTCGGAAGGTAAATAAATAAATGGCTATACACTCTGAAAATAAGGGTTATAATGATTTGAATTTCGGTTAGATTGGCTAATTATCATATAGCTTACTGCTATATGGTTTGATAATAAAGTCAAAGATAAAACATCAATCAGGTTTTGTATGTGAGCTGCTATATAGCAATGAGCTTATTGCAGAGAGCTTCTGTATAAAGAAATGCCTAAAAGATGGTAATTTATTTATATTTTAATGATTTATTTGGAGAATAAATATAAAGAAAATTGTAATAAAATTAACATTTGTTTAATTTAAACTTTAGATAAACATTATAATAATTAAATGTATTAAAGTAAATCTTTACCATATTCTCACTTGATAGAAGCGGCCTAAAAGTAGACATTATCTTTTTATAATAAAAATACTTAAAGGCCACAAATGAACCATAAATAAGACAAAATCAGAACAAGTATAATCTATATAAGGCTTTAATTTTTCTTTAAAATTTTCCACTTCAAATAACGACCATGAACTTTGCCCTTAGGTAGATTTCCAGCCATCAATATATAGTAGTTCCCTTCAGAGCAAACATTGCCAAATATTAATTTTAATTAATAATCAAAGCGTCGCGACCGCCCAAATCCGCTTCGGCCATCAATCAGCTAAATTGACCGGCCGATTGAAGATTCCCCAGCAACTCTCTATAGATCTCTCTCTCTGCGTTGAGTGGAACGCGGCTTTTTCCGATTTCGCTGAGTGAGAAGGTTCTATATAAAGGGCTTTCGGCGTTCCCCGATTCACTGCAATCGCATTTGTCCCATCAAATGGAACGGACTGCTGTGTAAAAAGGGGAACAAACAAACAAATAAACTCTGATAAACTCGAATCCAAAGGGAAATGTGCAAGAAACAGTTACCGATCGCCTACTCCCTGTGACTCTATTTTGTGTAAAAAAAACTCACAAACAGTGAAAAGTTACTGAAACTTCTTCAATTTTTAATTGTTTTATTTTAAAGTGTTTTGTTTTTTGAGTGAGTTGTTACCGAGTGATTTTGTGTACATGGTGCCGGTGGTAAAATTTCTGCAAAATCACGTCTGTCTTGGCCAGGCCAAAAAGTGCTTAAAAGGTATTTAAAGAGAGCAATATTAAGAAATGTACGTAAGGTCAGTGTTTTGGCCCCCCCATTAATTGAGACGTTTGGATATCAAAAATATATTAACAGAGAGTCGCGTGCAGAAATCGTTATATGCGATTGCATCAGCCTGCAATTTATCACAGTACAGTCGGACTTGGATAGGTTGTAATTAATATAGTACACTTCCTTTTAGAATATCCAAGAATTTATTTAAAATTAAAGTGTTTAAGAAGCGATTTTCAAGAGTTATTAAAACTATTATTATGGAAATATTTATATTAAAATATTTCTGCAAGCTACCCGTTTTACATTCCTAGGCTTCACTGTATTCCCACTATATATATTACTTTGGCTCGTGGCATGTCAGCATGCACTTCTCTTCAGTTCACGGCGCCAATTTGAATTTGGAACTCGAGAGGCGTCTGAGAATGTTTGGTACTCGTCTCTAATTTTTTTTTCGCCACTTGTGTTTCTTTTTCCCCAGCAACGCCCCACGATGAAAGATTTGAAAGCGGAGATCCCAGTGGGCGAAGAGCCCTCGAAACCGGAGACCAGCGGGGTGAGTGCAAGCGAAGCTATTTTTCTACATTTCTCATAACTTCATTCAATTCGCTGATTGCTTGAATCATTATTAGTCTTGGAAAAGTGGTTATAAAATTGTTTCTAGTGTTGGGTTCTAAGAAAGGCTTTGGGTTTCTTCTTGTAACGGAAAGTGTTTACGTTTTGTTTACAAAACAAATCGGTTTAATTATAAATCGAAAAGGAAACTATTTATTTATTGAACTTTGTGAACTCTTGTTAGAGTATATATCGTTTAACTCTTCAATTATCATCCTTTATCATCCTCTTTATCTATTTTTATCTATCAGTATATTTAATCAATATTTACATAATGCTTGAATATTCATAGGAAATATAATGCAAGCTAAAGATAGTCCTCACATATAGGCATAGGAAATATTTTAGCATGGAATGATTAAATAAATAAAAATTTTAAATATTTATATGAAATTTTAGCTTTAGAAATTAATTACTAACCTCTTTAAGGAACTATTAAAAATTACATACAAAATAATATATTTATTTTTATAGAGCGTCGAGCCTTTGATCAGGCCATTACCGCTTCCGATGGCATTGGAATCGTCTGAAATGCTGCCGGACCAGAAACCGCGCGACAATTGGGGAAGCTCTATCGAGTTTCTTATGTCCTGCATCGCTCTGAGCGTTGGCCTGGGAAATGTCTGGCGTTTTCCCTTCACGGCTCTGGAAAATGGGGGAGGAGCCTTTCTCATACCCTACCTTATAGTCCTGTTTCTGGTGGGAAAGCCTATATACTACATGGAAATGCTACTGGGACAGTTCTCCAGTCGAGGAATTGTGCAAGTCTTTGATTTTGCACCCATGATGAGGGGTGAGCTTTAGCTAAAAAACTGTTTATTTTATTTAATAAAATTTCTTAAAATGATAATTTAATAATATGATATCTTTCAGGTGTGGGCTATGCTCAGCTCCTTGCTCTGGGCGTCTTGGCCACCTACTATGCCTCCGTAATGGCCTTGACACTGCGTTACTTCTTCGATTCCTTTGCATCGGAGCTGCCCTGGAGCTACTGCCGGGAGGAGTGGGGCCCAGGCTGTGTCAATGCCACTGGAGAGGGTGCAGTTGCTGGTTCAGTTGATCTGCCGGCGAACTTCACAATCAGTTCTTCCACGCAGCTTTACTTGGAGCGCATTGTGCAAAGGAAGACGGATTCGCTGGAGGATGGAATCGGTTACCCCAGTGGCAGTCTGGCTCTGATGCTGGCCCTGTCCTGGCTGACCGTGACCCTGGTTATCATTCGGGGTGTAAAGAGTTCCGGCAAGGCAGCCTATGTCCTGGCTCTATTTCCGTACGTCGTCATGTTTATCCTGCTGGTGAGGGCCCTCACCTTGCCGGGCGCCTACGAGGGCGTGATGTATTTCCTCACGCCGCAGTGGCACAAGCTCCTAGAGCCAATGGTTTGGTACAACGCCGTCACCCAGGTGTTCTTCTCCCTGGCCGTGTGCTTCGGTGTGATCATTATGTACTCCTCGTACAACCGCTTCGGGCACAATGTCTACCGGGATGCCAACATTGTGACCACTTTGGACACCTTCACATCCCTGCTCTCGGGGGTCATCATCTTCGGGATTTTGGGCAATCTGGCGCACGAGTCGAACACCAAGGACATTGCCAGCGTGGTAAAGGCCGGTCCTGGCCTGGCCTTCATATCCTATCCGGATGCCATCTCCAAGCTGACCGTCTTCCCGCAGTTCTTTTCGCTGCTCTTCTTTGCCATGCTCTTCATGCTCGGCGTGGGCAGCAACGTGGGCATGGTCAGCTGCATCATGACCGTGATCAAGGATCAGTTTGTGAATCTCAAGATCTGGATAATCGTGGTGGGTCTGTCTACGATTGGGTTCTTGGTGGGTCTGATCTACATCACTCCTGGGGGCGAGCATATCATCACGCTGCTGGATTACCACGGCGTGACCTTTGTATCCCTGGTCTCGGCCATATTTGAACTGATTGCCGTGGGCTGGATCTATGGTAAGATATGGAAAGTACCTCTTTACAACTCTTTTACCCTTTTTGTTGAATCCCCAAAAGGCACCAAGAGACTCTGCCAGGACGCGGAGTACATGCTTAACATCAAGACGTCGGTATATTATAGAATATGCTGGTCTATTGTTACCCCTTTGGTGATGATCATCATTCTTGTCTACACTTTGGTGACCATGAAACCGCTCACCTACAACGATCGTGAATTTCCACTGGGCTTTAGAAGTAGGAAAATATATATATTTTTTAATTTAAGAACGTTTCTAAGTGATCTTTCTTTACCTCACAGTTTTTGGCTGGGCTCTGACTTCCTGTATACTCGGCCAGCTGGTCTACTGGGCCCTATATGCCAATTGCAAGCAGCCCAAGGGATCGCTAAAGAGCCGGATTTCCAATTCCTTGAAACCGCATTCCGATTGGGGACCTCTGGACTCCAAGAAGCTGATGGACTACCAGATGTTCCTGCGCAACAGGGAGGAACTGGAAGCCACAGGGGCACCACGTCGCAGCCTTTGCTACAAAGTCTACGATAGAATCTTTGGCTAACAGAGTTTTATATAATTTTATATATCACATTCTGTAGCATAGTTCCTTTTTTATAGTATAAGTGTACTTAAAACGTTTTATTTACGCATTTATTTATTCAAAATGAAATTAAACCAAATTCAATTTCTCGAAATATGGCTTTTAAGCCCGATCCGGTTAGTTTTTAAATATCCCTTTGTATTGTAGTCTCTTGTATTGTAACATTTATTCCTAATTGGAAATTTTGTATGCAGCCAGCGTGCGGCAGCATAATTGTTCCTAATATATTTTGTACACACTTTTATTTATTCAAAAATGAAATCAAACAAAAATCAATTATCTCGAAAGTTTACTCGCAAGCAATTCCAATTGCTGTCAGTTGAGAGTTTCAATTTTTCATTCCCAGCTCTGGCTCCTTTGTCTTTCCTGCCTCAGTTCGACTGCTAAAAGGTAAGACAACTTTATCTGAGCCATTTTCAATATTTAAAACTAACAATTAGCAAGCTGCCCAGTTCCATCACTCTTGGCTGCATTTGTCTCCGTCTCTGGCACAGACATGGACATTTATTTGAGTTTCAATTTGTTTTGCAAGTTTCGCACACTTTGCATACAGTTTTGTCGTTATTGTTGCTCCTGCTGCTGAAGGATGTGGCTGCTGCTGCTGCTGCCTGTTGCCTGTTGCCGCTGTCCATCTAGCCGTCTTCATTCGCAGTTGAAAATTAATATGTCGGTTCTCTGGACCTGCAAATGTCTTAATTAAAAGTTATTTTGGCTATTTGCTTTTTCTCGTCTCCGTCTACGTCTAGCGAGCGAGCGAGCGAATTGCGTTTTGGCAAATGCACATAAAGCTGTCAAGGACAGTCGCTCGCTTGGCTTGACATTTGTCCTCATCGCTGACAGCCGCATTACGTATACGTCGCATTAAGTATACGCAGCGTCGACTGCAGAGAGAGAGAGAGAGAGTTGGAGACTCCAACTGAAGCATTGCACAGAGACAACGGCGAGGAAATTAAAAAAGTTACCCTCCAAATGGCTCACGCTCTGATTTCACAGCAAAAGGTGCAAGAAACAATATCAACAAGGAAAAACTTGCCAACAACTAACAAGCATTGAAGTTTAATAAAATCCTCCTTTAAGCAGTCGTCCCCCCAAACCGTACTCCGTGTGTTTTTTCTCGGCTGCAGCTAATGAAATAACTTTGTGGCAACTTTTGCCTTGCCGGAATTTGCTTAAAGCGCAAATAAATTGCCGAGATTGCAGCTACTCGCAATCAAAGGCCTTCGAAATGCTTAAACAGCGCGGGTAAATAAAGTTTGGCTTAAAGCCCGCCGCCGCGCAAATCATTTACAATAAGCGGAAATAATTTGCCGAAAATCCAGTGAGTCGCGGCGGATGGCTGGGTGGCTCAAGGGGTGCTTAAGCGGAGGTTTGGTGCTGTCGGTGCCTTGTGGATGCGGCGCAGTGATGCACGTAACCCAAAGAGAGGAAACAATTGGGGGCAATTTATTAAACGGCTGCTCGCCTTGCAGCGGACAGTCGGTGGGCGAAGGGCATCAGAAAACGAGCACAGAAAAAATCCAAACAAAAGGGAACACATAAAACACGAATATAGAGCAATTCCGGAGTGCTGTAAACTTTAATTTTAAAAGGATATCAATTATGAATATTTAAATAAAATTTAATAAAGTGAGAAGGAATGTCAGAGCTAGCAAAGAGAGCTTTAAAAGTGTAGAGTGAAACTTAGATTAGATGTATATAGTGAATACTTTTGCTTGTGATTTTGCAATGAATTAATATTTATGAAATTAGCTTACATTTAAAATATTTCATCAGTTTAAACTATAAGTAAAATAGCTAATAGCTAATAATTATTAAAATTGATGTCTAATTGCTCTTCTTTTAATTTATTTAAAATTAATTAAATGTTGCCATATTTAAAAATCTACTAAAAACTATAACTTTGTTTTCCATTTCCCCTATTAAAGCAGCAACTCTTGATTAAAGGCTGCCTGTTTTTTCTAGGAAGGTGAATGTTTTCAGTTTCCTACTTTTTTCTTTCATATTTTTTTGTGAAGGTGAGGAGATGCAGTCAGCATCCAAGAGTGCGAAAGCTGCTCGTCATGCGTGCTGGCAGCGGGAATCGTTCTGTGACGTTTTCAGCGTTTTTGTTTTGTATACTGCCACCGCTTCCATCACCGTCATACACACACACACACACCGCCATAGCCATGGCCAGGACCTCCGCCGGTGCCTGTGCAGACAGCGTCTACCTGGGCTACGTGAGCCGCTTGAGTGATTCACCTGCTCGCCGGCATTTGCATTTTGCATGCTGGAGCGACTCCTGCTCCTGATGGTTGAGGTCCTGGCTCCCGACGGTTTCTGCCTTGTGCCTCCTGCATCCTGCCGGCTGTTAGCTGCTGGTAATGGCTGTGACAAGCATTAGGGAATTATTTTAGAGACCTCGCATGTGGCGGCCATTAAAGGACCTGCTGAAGGTGAAGCCTCTGCTGACGATTTGATTTGTAGGCCAACACACACACACACACACTCTAAAAAAGGAGCAGGATGCAAAGACAATGGTGTGTGCCAGCAGAAACTATACAAAAACACAGCCAATGCCAAAATGGTAAATGCGAAAGCCAAAGCCAAAGCCGTCAGATGCAAAAAAGGATGTCACACAGAGAGGAATTTAACAGAAGATGCTGAAGTCCTAAAATTATTAGATATATAAAAGAAGATAATGATGAGCACATTGCTATCCTCTCTTACAAAAAACTGCCTTTATTTAAGCATTAAAATTATAAAGAAAATAAAATGAAATAAAAAGCATTATGCCTTTAGAGTCCCATTTTTTTCCCTGTGCAGCTTTTATTGTAATCTGCATTTAAGTGGCTTTCTTTTGTGCTCCTTTCGGGTATGGGAAATTTACAATTCCTTTCTTTTTTTTGCACATCTTTTTGCACCTTCACACCTTGCAATTTGGCGCACTTTTCTTGGCGACCATTGGCAGCAATTTTTCGGCTAACTGGCGCTCGTTTGAAATGCTAATATGCAACTTTGACGCGATTGCCGTTGGTAGTTCCCCGTTTGCCATTCGACCGGCAATTGCCAGACAATTTTATTTTCGCTACGCTTATGGGCAAGATAAGGGCCGGATGCAATTTTCCCCACCAGGGACTTCAAAGGCAGACCAGGAGACTGGCCTTAAAAACTTAACCCAGTTGCGGTGGCTTTAAGAATGCTTTTTTTTTTGTGGGACCGTTTCACAGTGCTCGTCAAACTGTAATTCTGAATTTTCCGACTGCAAGCGAATTACTTTCGGCATCCGGCAAATTGATTGCCATCAGAGGGCCGCTCTGCCACCCGTCTGCCTTCGTTCCGTTGCAATTTTGCCACAATGTGCTCCGCCTTTTGGCCCCGAAAGCGAGCGACCGGCTCTTGTATCCTTTTTCCCTTATTTTTCAGTGCCTTGCCAGTAGTGCATGCAAATATACGTGAGCGTAAAAATTTCCATATAAACTGCTGCTGCTACTGCTGCTGCTGCAGTTGCCACTCGCTCCCCGGCAATTCAAGTGCAAATATGTTGGCATGCCGCACTTGAGTGTCAAGTTCCCGGCACATGAAACGCAATTGTTATGAATTGGCCCAGCCACGCCCATTCACCATTCACCGTCCGCCGCCCTCAACAAATACGCATACCTATACATATATGTATACATGTTTATATGTATATTGTGTGTACACATAAGAAGGTGTGAGGCCCCCGTATGCAAATGCAAATGGATAGATCAAACAGACGTCATCACAACTGAATGCTGATTGTTTGCCGGCATTTAAAAGCAAGTGCCGAAATTTATTTTCACTGTCCCCGAAAAATAAATTGAGTGCTTGACCGTTGCAATCCTGTTGGACTTTGAAGCTCCCCCGATGACAGTTTATTTTAAGAATGCTGTTTATGGCATAGAGAAGTGAGATATCCACAATTTTAGTGCTTAAATATACCTTGAAAAGTAGAAGAGGAGATTAGTTTTTAAATAAGCTTTGTGGAAAGTGAAACCTAAATGATTTTAAAATAAAAATTATTTCAATTTCGTTATTCATTTGTTGTTTAAATCCTTAATTTTTAGTTCAAGCTTAGAAGCCAAACTGCCTGAGAAAAAGGTATCCTTGCAGCTGTAGCCTTCCAATTTGTCCTGCTGAAGCCTGGCTTAAGCCTGTCAACATATGGCCCACATCAATCGCTTAATGCCCGGCCACCTCACAGAGTCTTAGGACATTCGATCTTCGGCCAGCCGGCCACTTGTTTACTCCTTTTCCACATGCTTTGTTTCCACCTCTGTGCTGTTATTGTTTGTGACACCGGGTCCGGGGCTCCAGCTCCAGTCTCAGTCTCAGAGGGCTAAGCCCGGGCTGCTGGACAACAAGTGCAGCTGTCAGAAGGAAGTTTACGGGCCAAACGCACCGAAATAACAAATGCGAGAGCAGGAGGGATGAGGAGTTTTTCAGGGAAAAGCTTTGGGAAAAGCGCTGGGACAGCTGCAACAGCTGGTTCTGGTTATGTTCTGCTGCTGCTGTTGCCGGTTGTGTGTGATCCTGGCCACAGAAACGTTGATTGGCCAGCGCCGGAAAAAGAAGTTATAACCATCAAGGCGGAAACGGATGTGGCACAGACGTTTCCGTTTTTTTCTCCCCCAGTCAGCTGCACTCACACACAAACACAGACTAGCACACGAAACTATATTTTAACCCCTTTCGCTGGCAGTTTGCACTTGCTGCATACATTTGGGCGGCCTCCGTTAGCATCCCTTTGCCATCCTGCGGCAACACCGCACAATGCCTGTCAAATAAAATCATTTTGCATTGCAGAAATACAAATAGAAAAAGAGGAAACTAGGAAGGAGCAAGTAAAAAGGAGCAGGGAGCAAGGAAAGGCAACTCGACTGCGTTTAGCGGCTAACCGCAAGCACTTCTAATCAAAATATTAAAGAATTTCTTTATGGCTGCGTCTGCGGTTGCTCTGTGCTGAAAATATTTAAATTCTGCAGCTGCCGAGCTGCCTTCTAATTGAATGAGCCGTCGTTGCTCTTGGACTTTGTTGTGGCTTTTCCTACTCTCACCCAAGCCCATCCCTCTCCTCCCTTTATCGTTCATTTTCCAAGGCGGCGGATTTGGGGTGAGCCATAAAAATGGCAACACGTGCTCATAAAACTAACATTACATGCCGCTAGTTGGGCATTTCTTTTTGGCCCCAAGCGCTTCAATAAACAACTTCCTTTGATTATTCGAGGAGGGGGTAAGAGCGTTGGCAGCTGCTAAATGGT